ACATCGATCTCAACTGGGTGCTCGACCAAAAAACAAGTAGAAATATTTTAGATGCAAAGTCGGCAAGAGATATTTTAGAAAAGTATCAAAAAATTTATTTTTTTAAAAAACTGTCGCATAGCATATGTGACGTTTCGAGCACGCAGGCTCTTCATCAGACAAATGAACAACACTGATATCGCAAACTTTATAGGCCTACCTCCAGGTGATCAAAGGTCACATGACCATACAATATTATCGTGAGTTAACTGTCATCACTACTTTTTTTTTTTTTTTTTGGAATTTTGAACAGAATTGGTCGACTATTACAGTAATATATTTAGATCCTACACTGCCCCGACAAAGATGAATGATCACACGGTCTCTGACTAATTTGGCACTATAGATTGCGCTAAAATGAAGACAGCAGAAGAAGCAGGAAAGAAAAAGCTCTTCATCTTTGGCATGAAGGACGTGGAGGCTGTTGACAAAAAGGAATGAGTTGGGAGTAGAAGAATAGACAAGGTTAGAGACAGAAAGAAAGAAAAGAAATTCCTGTGCAAGATAAACAGATAGGTATTTCAACTTTATTTTGTGGCACATCATAAATTACATTTCCACCACAGTCATTTACTGCAATGCATGCTGATGACAGCAGATGGTTTATAATGACCTACCAGTTAGTAATTGTTGTCCATTTTCAGAGAATAATCTGCATAGAGAATCCTTAAAGCAAAGCCTTAACAGTCAAGCTCAACTGAGTAACGAACATGAAACTTGCTATTTTTCTTAGGAACACAATATTCTTAAAGTATTTTCAGACATGTTCATGTTATGATGATACGCGAATCAGGGAGTAACATCTGTCAAAAAATATAATTCACCTTTTTGATATGAAACTACTGAACAATGTACATGTAATCATTACAATGCATATGGTAAATATTTAGACTAGTGCTGTCAAACGATTAATCGCGATTAATCGCATCTAAATTAAACGGTTATTTTTTACATAATATATGTGTGTACTGTGTATATTTATTATGTATATATAAATACACACATACAGTATATATTTAGAAAATATTTACAAGTATATATTTATATTCATATAGTTTAATTTACATATAAATATATATAATATATAAACAACATATTTTTCTTAAATATATACATGCATGTGTGTCTATTTATATATACGTAACAAATATACACAGCACACACACATATATGTAAAAAAATACTTTTATTTTGGATGCGATTAATCGCGATTAATCATTTGACAGCACTAATTTAGGCTATTTAAAGACCCAAAAATGGGTAATCAGTTTAAAGTTTTAACATGTTTATTGAGTTGATGATGGCTTACAGACACAGTAACTAATGTATGAGTATTTAGCAATGATAGGATCAATTCATGTGTGAATGCAGATGTAGAAAAGTGTGGAAGTTTTGCACTTTTTGGCATTTACGCACTTATACAAAACCTTTCCAGCTGCCTATTTGGCACTGAGATCCACAACTAGATGCTGGTAGGCCATGGTCTTTCCTTTAAAACTGGCCGCTAACAGAATATCCTTATTGTCAACAGAGACCAGGCTGAAGCCTCGAGGCGCGAGCATGTTGAGTTCCTGGAAGGGCTGGAATCTTTGAGTGAGCTCATCCCACAGGTAGATCCGAGAGAAGGAATAATCGCTGCCCAGCAGAAGGTACTGCCTCACTCCGACGCTGAATGGATGCACGGCCATTGAGCCCCGTGACGGCAGGGTTTGAATCTCTACGAAGCGCTGGTTGTCCCAGCGCAGGATCTTCGAGTCTCCTATGAAGCGTGTGAGGCAGAGATACAGCACTTTTCGAACCCAGAAGTGCTTCACCATCTGCACGTCGCCTGAATCGGTGATCTGAGAGTGGTAGGCAAACTGGCGTTGGCTGTGGTTCCACTGATACACCACAGGGGGCTGCGAGGCGCTAGAGAGTATGAGGCGAGGTTTGCCGTCCACCTCTAGGAAGTCGATGTGATTGTCTCTGTGCCAGGGATGGAGGGACTGGTGTGAGTAAAAGCCGTTACTGTTCCAGCGGTACAGACTGGTGGATCCGGCTTTAGAGCCGTCAACTACTGCAAAATACCAGTCTCCTTCGATCTGGAAAGTCTCGATGAAGTTGGGTTTACGGACACGGGTGGTGTCGATGTCCTGGATTTTGACGAAACGCAATGGACCTTCCTCCCATCTGACAACAACAACAGGATGTCGTAATTATGTCATGATGATGATAATAAGCACATGCAAACAGATACTATATCAACCTTTGGGTACTGAAATATTTTACCAAATAAAAGGTGCATTCAGTAGTTTGGTGCTAATTTAAAACTGAATGAGATGAAGACTGTTCTTATTATAGCTTTCTATAAAAAATATGGTAACACTTTATTTCGATAGTACACTTTAGACATTCTATTAACAGCAAGTAACTTTGCAACTACATGTCAACTAGCAGTTAGTAGAGTATTAGTAGACTGTCTGCTTAATATCTTCTAACACTTTCTTTGTCAACATTCTACTAACCCTAAACCTACCCTGTCTACTCTGAGAGTTAGTAGACATGTAGTTGCAAATTAATGAGAATTAGTTGACATGTAGTTGACATGTAGTTACAAAGTTACTTATAGTTAATAGAATGTCTAAAGTGGACTATCGAAATAAAGTGTAACCAAAAATATTTTAATTGGGCTGTGTGGTGCGGGTCACCTTCTACGAAAGTTTATTTCCACAATGGAATAAACATTTTAAAAAGGTAATTGCAACTGTTTTTCTCACATTTCCAAGTTTATATCTTATAATTCTTACTTTTTTCCTCAGAATTGCTAGTTGTAACCTTACAACTGCACGTTTACGCCAAGGAATAAAACAATAAAAAGGTAACTTAATCTTTAATCACACAATTCAGATTTTTTTTCTCAGAATATTGAGATATAATATCAGAACTGTAAAATGTAAATTCTGAACTGCGAGAAAAAAAATCTGAATTTTGAGTTTATATCTTGCAATTCTGACTTTTCTTCTCATAATTGCAAGAAAAAAGCCAGAATTGTGAGACAAAAATGTGCTTTTGTAAGATATAAACTATATTTCTGTCATGACAACTCTCGGAGTGATTGGCATGGTAATGTACATGACAATGTTAATGTATTTGGTCTTGGCGGAATAGATCTGCTACGCTGCTGCGGCAGAGCAAGTACCGAGACTTGCTACTGCCAATACATCCACAACCTGATGCTGTGAGCATGTAAGAAATACTGCTGCTGCAAATATAACATACATGAAATAACCCCCATATAGCATACATGAATCACCTCGTAGCAGATCTATACAGGTGGAGCTGGGGAAGGTGGAGGGTTTCTGAAGTGCGCTGCAAAACTGCTACAGCAAACAAAAGCCAGGTATTTGAATGTTGAGCAGCGAGCTCATTGGCTACCGATACAGGAGAGAACCAATCAGCTACCATGTGACAATGATGTCGCCAGGTCAGATTGAGCTAGACCTATTGGACTGCGCCATCTAGAGTTTCATGCCAGAACTCTGTATATAAACTATATACTGATATATAAACAGAATTGTCAGATATAAATGGTTCAAACTGTTGTAAACTTTTCTTATCAGATTTCTTTCTTATCTTATCTTGTAAATCTACTTTGTTTTTTATCTTACAATTTTGAGAAAAAAGGTCAGGATTGCTAGAAAAATACGTTTTTGTGAAATATTAACTCAGAATTGTGAGATACAAGCTCAGAATTGTAAAATGTGAACTCTTGAAATGTGGACTTTTTTTCTCAGAACTGCAAGTTTATATCTCACAGTTCTGACTGGGTGGATAGATTTGATGACAGAGGAAAGTAGTTATGCACAAGTTGCTTGTTTTTTGTTTGGACAGGCAAAGGAATTCATTACTATGTATATCACTCTCTAAAACTCACTCAGTGTAATTTACATAAAACTCATCCTATCCATGTAGATACATTGAGCCATTCAATAGATGGCACTGCAGTGACTGCCAATGAGACTGTTGAGGTATCAGTACTTAATGTATGTGAAGAACAGCGATGTTAACGCTAAAGAACTACTTACTGCACCTTTAGCAAAAATAAATAAGTAAATAAAAATGTATTAAGGGTTAATTCTGATAATACACAAAGTATAGCCGCACAATATTTGAGCCTCCACAATAGAGTCCTAAAAAAGTAGTGCACATAGGCTAAACATACTTGTAGATGTGGGATCCTCCAAAGAGCTGAGCCACAACCATGTAGAGAGTGTTGTTGATAACCACAGGTTTACAATACACAGCAGAACGAGCTGGAATACACATACATTAGTATTTGAAACGGAATGCAACTACATTTTAAACATGTAACACAAATGAATCTTGATGCATTTTGAGTAATGATTTAATACTCCAGAGCAGGGGTTTTCCAACCTCTGCAATATTCAGTGCCTTCCCTTGTGAAATTAAGTGTCTGAAAAAATTACATTAAGTTGTCACTGTTGCAAAACATAGGATTCATGAAAAAAAAAAAGGTTAGAAAACCACTGCTTCAGAGAACACCTCCATAGTTCATTTTCTATGGAAATTTCTATTTTTATTGGTTGTAATGAATCAAGTAATAAAAAACTCCACTTACAGCTTTGTAGTTTTTGACTTACATGTGATGTTGTAATGTGTCTTGAAAAGCATGTTCACATGATCCCAAATGAACACAGTGCAGATTCCAGTGTTGGGCTGAGCGAAAACTACGTACTGGTCATCGTTAAACTCGTATGACTCCACAGACAGGGACTGGAACGAGTATGTCTCATATACCGCAAAATCTGGATTAGAAGAGCATTTCATATCAGAGCCAGTGTATATTGTGTATATTTTAAAGGGGTGAAATGAAATGGAGAATCAAAAGGTTCTTGATATTTACACATATAAGACTTTACTCTGAAATAAAAACAAACATGCAAGTTTCAGAACTCAAAACTAACTCTCCAGTTTAAATGATAAATTATGCATTTCTACCCTTCTAAAACACCAGGATTTGAAATGGGGAGAATCGTGACATCACAAGTTTCCTTGAAGATTAAAACCGTCAAACTCAGATGTTGTTCTGTCAGTGGATGTAAAGAAACTGCACATCCAAAAACGTTGCGTAGCCTTGCTAAAGATCTGAGCATTAGAAATGCATTTTTAATCTTGCAGTGTGTTTGCAATAAACATCAAATCAGCGTGTAACACTATTAGTACTCAAGCATATCGTTGTTTGAGTGTTACACTCTAAAAAATGCTGGGTTGTTTCAACCCAACTTTGGGTCAAATATGGACTAACCCAACTTTTGGGTTAAAAATGTAATTAAAAAAAAATGTATTAACGTAGTAGAATGAAGCAGGGTGAGGCTGAAAGTCGTCGAACTTTGGGTCAAATATGGACCAACCCAACTTTTGGGTTAAAAATTTAATGTAAAAAATTAACCCAACGGTTGGGTTAGTCCATATTTGACCCAAAGTTGGGTTGAAACAACCCAGCATTTTTTAGAGTGTACTAATAAAATTAGTGAATAGCCAGATCAGAAATATTTGCTTAAGTTGAATATTTTTATTAAAGTTTATGTTGCTGTTGTGCCGTTTCAATTTCTTCTGCCTGATCAGGATCTGATTCAGACTCAAACATATATGGCTCTGTCACATCGGTTGCCATCTCTAATATAAAAACACACAACATGCTGTAAATGAAGGTTGGATACGGTGCAGTGAAGTTAGCCAATCACAGCAGTGGCTGTTTACTTCTGTTTTTGCTAGAGGTATCACCACTTCAAATTGAGTGTTGTTTGCAGAAAGTTAGGATAGAAGATGATATTTTTTTACAAGTATTGGACCTTTTTAGTGCCATAAAAAACATTGTGAACTTTATAATTTTAAGAAACATAATATAAAACTCTGAAACTGCATTTCATGACACCTTTAAATGATCCTGTGGTGTAACCAACAGATATTCCATGTAGACTTTCAATTACTATGAATTTTGTATAATGCATGTGCAGTAATTATGGAAAAATGAGAAACGTTTTGTTCTAAAAGTTTTAGATGAATTATAGCATGTCTCAGCACAGGACAATGCAGAAATCCAGTTACACTACGTGGCCAAAAGAATGTGGATATTTAATTTTAAAACCCAGGTCTTCCTTGTTGAAAAAAACAGCATATGCTGGTTAGGTATGTTTTGAAGCATGGCAGCTGGTTTGAGCTGGTCCTGAGCAGGAGCTAGTTGCTTAGGACCAGCACATGACCAGCTTAAACCAGCTCATAACTAGCTTATAACCAAGCTCATGCCAAATAAGGACCAGCTTAAACCAGCTCAAACCAGCTGTCATGCTTCAAAACATACTTAACCAGCATATGCTGCTTTTTCAGCAGGGTTCTACTTGATGTTAGAACATGGATGCAGAAAGAGTCTGACTCCTCAGAGCTGTTCAGTGGGGTTCAGGTCTGGGCTTTGTGCAGGCCAGTCAGGAGTCAGTAAACCATTTCTTTAAGAACGGTCCCCAAACTGCTGCAACCAAGTTGAAAGCACAGAATTTTCTAGAATGTCACTGGATAGAGTGCTGCAGGAATGAGTCCTGAAACTTAGAAACAACTCCACATTTAGCATTTCTGGTTCCATCATCCTGAAGTCAATGGGTTTTTGAATGGGTTTTAGGTGAAATGCCTGAAATAAGGCCCGTGGTTAAAATCTGCTTAAGATATGTTCATTGTATATTCTATGACAAGTGGCTAAATGTGGACATTAAATGTTATAATGCCAAACAGTAAAAGTCGTGCATTCACCAGTCCACTTTCACAGCCTCATTGTGTTTATAATCACTCTCTTGCAAACTATTCTACCTCAAATTTTAAAACAAAGATTGAAAGAGCTGTCCAAAGATTAATGATGGTGACGCTGTCACACATTCATAGTAAAGTTCATTAATATCATAACTTCTGGTGATTGTACACTGAACAAAATTATAAACGCAACACTTTTGTTTTTGCCCCCATTTTTCATGAGCTGAACTCAAAGATCTAAGACTTTTTCTATGTACACAAAAGGCCTATTTCTCTCAACTATTGTTCACAAATCTGTCTAAATCTGTGTTAGTGGTTGAGAGAAATAGGCCTTTTGTGTACATAGAAAAAGTCTTAGATCTTTGAGTTCAGTTCATGAAAAATGGGGGCAAAAACAAAAGTGTTGCGTTTATAATTTTGTTCAGTGTATTTAGGCTTCAAAAGTAATAAACGTTTGTGTTCATGAAGATTATTTTGATGAACAAAATGTGTAAGAATAATAATTTTTTGTTGGTCATAGAGCTTATCTTCACTGGCTTTTTATCAAGGGAACCAAAGTGATGCTAACTTTTGGGTTGGCCTAAAACTGGAGTCTGGGATTAAAAGAGGATGCCCACATACTTTTGGTAATATAGTTTACATGTTTTACAGATTTAGAAATATCACCATTAGATTTCAACTAAATTTCAGCCACCAGTCTCAAATAACATGTGTTAAGGTCTGAACTGGCTCACCTGCGCTAATGCAGTTGAAGTCACGTGGTGTAAGGTCATGGATGCGTCGACCCTGGAACTCAAAAGGACTGGCGCAGTATATGGCGGGAACTGAGGTGTTGGTCTTCTCCATCCAGTCAACCAGCCATTTGATCTTACAGTCACAACGGAACGAGTTCCCTCGCAGGTCTCTACATTGGAGAGAGAAATAAAAAGGTACAAAAGGGTTCAAAAAACCATGAATTTTCCCCTGTTGACTCTGATCTGTGAGTGGTTTTCATTCTGGGATCCATGGAAAATTTGAGAGTTTTTTTAATTTAGTTTTGTGAAGAAATATATTAAATTTTTATATCTAAAAAAGTTGATTTAGCTTCAGTACAGTCAATGCAAAATAAAAGGTAATCATTTTATTTTGGAAACATTTTTACTGTATAATACAATGCTTACTATTTTTCACATACAGCATAAATGGGTCTGTATACATGAAAAGAAAAAGCTCAGTCCCTCACAGAGGAATATTTGGGAATCTGGTACATACAGGTCAGTGAGGATGTCCAGGTGTTTGAAGAGATCTCTGGGAAGAACCTGCAGGTTGTTGTTGGACAGAGACCTGACATGAAGAAAATTCAAACCAGAGAGACATAACATGACCTATTTATCCCTCCATTCTTTATTCTAATCTATAAGGTACAATAACTAACACATTACTGTATGATTTGAGTATTGAAGACTGGACCATATAAAAAAGTTTTCTGTTCCAAATGAGTCTGAACTCTTTTGAAACTATGGAGAATTAACACTTTTAAATGCACATGTCAAATGGATTTATTCAATTATTAACATTTTTATTTTTTAATCAATACACTGATAATTGATTACTTCATAGGTAGATGCAATACATACAGATGTGTCAGAGACTTCAGTCCTCTGAATGTGTGCTTTGACAGGGTTTGGATGTCGTTGTTCTCAATAAATCTGTAAAGAAGCAGAATACAGTATAGGAATTAAATGAGCCATTTAAGTCATGTAAATTAATTCAGCCAACAACTCATTTGTCAGACAGCTACGAAATTAAATATTTGTAAATTTGCAGGTGAAGTCATTAACATGATTTAGGTGCCGTGTACCATTTGAGAGAGAAAAAAAAGAGATAAAAGGGAAAAGAGAGATAAAAGATTAGGACAGGGATATTAATCAAATGGCATGTTTTCTCCCCCTATGTTTATTGTAATAAACAGTAAGGATGCAAAGGCATGCTGCCTGTTCCCTGATGGATTCATGAGTCACGGCGTTCAGAAGACCTGCCTCCGTCTGCAAACCTTGCCGCATTTGCTTTGCTAAAGCTTTTAGCTTAATGACACTGAGGTTGTGGGCGTTTTCATTAATGCTAAAAGCTTTCTGTAATAGCAAGTCCTCCACCCCCTCTCTCTTTCATCTCATTCACTCTCTTTCTGCAGTCATTGAGCTGCCAATGCTTTCGTCTGAAAGACGCTACCTGAATCTTAAGAAGGACTCTGAAGAAGAAACTGCACAACCAGCATGAAGATGAGAGACACAGACATGCACACACAAGTCTCGCTCAAAGATGTCTTTTTAATACCTGGAGAAAGATATTAATATTCCAATCCATCTCAGTGGCTTTCAAAACGTATTTGATTTAAATTTTCCTTTTTTTTTTAAAGAGTCGTCACATCTGCTATTATAAAATAAAATGCAGTGTTGGGGAAAGTTACTTTTAAAAGTAATCCATTACAATATTGAGTTAAGGCCCGTTCAAACCGAAAACGATAACTATAAAGATAACTATAAGGATAACGATATTAGCGTCCACACCAGTGAACGATATCGTCTGTTTATTCTAAGCGCATGCGGGTCTGCCCCTTTAAATTCTCGAGCTCGTTACAGCAGGATAGATTCTGATTGGTTGTCAATGTTTGTGTCGTTCATCAGCTGGAAAACATCGTTCTGAAAATAATTCCAACGATACTGTTTCTCTGTGCCTTTATCGTTATAGTTGTGGTGTGGACTCTGCTATTCTTTAATATTGAGAACGTTCTGAAAATGATTCCAACGATATCGTTTCTCTTTGTCTTTATCGTTATAGGTGTGGTGTGGACTCTGCTATTCTTTAATATTGAGAACGATTTTTAGAACTATATCTTTATCGTTATCTTTATAGTTATTGTGCTTGGTGTGAACGGGCCTTAACTCCATAAAAAATAACTAATTGGGTCACTTAGTTCTTTATGGAAAGTAATGCGTTACTTTTGTGTTACTTTTTGTCACCTGGGCTAGGCTTGTTTATTTGTTTATTAATAACAAAAAATCCAAAAGTTATATTTCTGGCAACTGTAAAGACCCTTTCACACCAAAAGTGAAAAGAATAAGCCTCAAAATGGTTGTGCAGTATAGTGAATAAATGGGAAAACAAAGTAACCGGCATTACTTGTTTGAAAAAATAAGTTGGATATTTTGTTGTAAATTAAAAATGTATGTATTACTTTACTAGTTACTTGAAAAAAGTAATCCGATTACGTAACTTGCGTTCAGGCTTGATTTTATAAGAAAAAAAAATAGTATAAACCTTACATGTCTGGTTATAATGAGCGAACACTTTCAAAACCCTAAGGAGACGATGAAAACGAAAAGAAGCTGCATATTTTTTTAGCTCCTTCTTTCATTTATGTGACCAAAAGCCAGTGTCTAAAGCATATCGGAATAAATCACACTTAAAGTGCAACAGAAGACATTCTGAAACGTCTAATCTGTCCATCTGTTGGGCAAGTGATCAATCCACCCACCCATCAACCCACTCCTCCTCTATCCTTCAGGCCAACCATCGATCAGGCCATCCATCCATCCATCAAGCAACATGGAAACATACTCACAGGTACTGCAGATGTCCAAGACCGGCAAAAGCATCAACAGAAATCAGCGAGAATGTGTTGGAGTTCAACAGCCTGTGCAGAACAAAGAGAAAGAGACAAAGATAAGAGCTTGCACTTTCATTGAGCTGAACATTTCTCATACATTTTAGACATGTTTATAGACTTTCTTAGGGCCAGTACTATTTTACTGCTGTAAAGAAGTACATTTATTTTGATGTGTTGACTAACATACTAAAGCACATGTATAGTACTTGATTATAAATGTATAAGTAGCATGTTATTCGATATCATATTTAAAGATAATATATTTTAAATGTACTAAATTGCAACTTCATCCTTTCAAATGTGTAATTACAAACATATTTACACACGCGACATAGAAGTTTCAATAGAAATGACATTAAAGTATTTAGTTGATCATAAAATCTTGTCAGTACATTTAGCAGTGCACTTTTACCATATTTCAAACACAACATAAGTAATTGTGAAATTACACATAAAGATACACTTAAGTCCTACTTAAGTGGATAAGAAAAGCACACTTCAGTTCTTAATAATAATAATAATAAGTACTCTTTTTATAAGTATGCTAAAGTGTACTTTTTTTTACAAAAGGCATGCACTTATAATAATCGTCTATATGACAACACATTGTGTTAAAATGTGACAGTAGTTAAAATATGTTTGAAACTGTGTATTTTAATTTTTTATCTCAGTGCAATGTCTTACCCTGTACTTCAAATGTAAGTGCTTTACCATAAACATGATTTTCAGATTTTTTATCATAAACTGAGGGGAATTATTTTCTGTGGTAATCAACAATATGTCACAATTATTGCCAATTAGAGTTATACAAAATTTCAAATTGTATGTAATATAAATATTTATGTGCAAAATTCTAAATTTTGTTGTTTAAGAACTGTCTCTAATTGATCAGAAACACTGAAAGGCTGCATTGCCTGAAATATCACCCTGTAAATCCATTATCACTGCCTTTGGAGTTTATGAATCCACAATAAATTCCTGTGGCTGAAAGCACACCTTGCCTATTGCACACCGCAAAGCACACCGTCTTCATGACATCTGACTGCTATATGCAAATTACTTCAGCAAGGAACAGAATGAGAAGTACAGATATTACTGCTGACAGTACATACAAACAACATATTTTCATACAGAAACATAGTTTAAATGTTACATATAACATTTTTACATGCATTATACTAATATATTTTACAAAGCATTGCATATCTGATATTGCAGGACATTTTTAATTTGTTGACTGAAGAACTGGCATGCTGTCATTGGAAAACAAACTTCTCTCTTGTGTCTTACACACACACACACACACACACACACACACACAGTGGGAGGACAGAAACGCTGTTGTTGTGTGAGTGTGGGCAGTCTGTAAATGGAGGGTCTGTCACTGATACACATCACACTACACACTGCTCAGACATGCAGCTGACAAACACTACAATCCTCACACTTTTTTTTTTCCACACATAGGCCATAATAAGAAAATGCAGAGGAGGATCATTGTGCATTTGGTACTTACAGGAACTGCAGTAGGTGCATGTGGGAAAAAGCTCCTTCAGGAATCTCTGTGAAAGCAGCGTTCACCATAGTCCTGATAGAATAGCAGAAACCACCATCACAATCATTATCATCATCGTCATCATCACAAATATAGCTGCTGTTACAGTCATCTTAAAGTAAAAACTCATGAGTTCAGAAAAATGTCTTCATAACATCTGAAACTCTCATTTTAAGTCTAGATTTTTTACATTTCCTGAACACATTATGAATGATGCTTTCCTGTGCAAAACCACCACAATGCTAAGATGTTTACTCTATGTGATTTTTATCATGTTGAGTTTCAAGGGTGTTCTGTATGTATTTATTTAGTATGCATTTATTATACCATACTATATATATATATATATATATATATATATATAATAGATTTAGGGGCTTTAACTCTAAGTATACCACTAGCATTATGATGAATAATTTAGGAGAAGCACCCCTTTTTCCCAATGTTTATATCATTTACATATAGTTAAAAGTCATTTTAGTCTAATTCTGAGCAGTTATGTTTGGCCTTTTCCTTAAACAGTTGCTCTGCACACCTGAAAGGATCTCACAAATTAATTATTAGAAAGTAGGACACAGATCTTCCTTCCTTCTTATATTCTCAGTCTGAAAATAAGGGCACCATCAGCGTGCAAAACTCTCTATATTACTCAGCTATCAAAGGCCTTTAATAATACTTTCTTCAGAATGAGTAAGCCTGAATGAACCTGGTTACATAAGTCTTTATAAGTGAATGACTTGTCTGCAAATAGTATCTAATGAAATACAGTGTAATCGTGTGATAACTTCAGTGAACTTAATAATATTGTATATAAAACACAGAGAGAGGATATATTACTCAGCTAACATGAAATCTAAATCAAAGGCCTTTAATAATACTTTCTTCAGAATGAGTAAGCCTGAATGAACCTGGTTACATAAGTCTTTATAAGTGAATGACTTGTCTGCAAATAGTATCTAATGAAATACAGTGTAATCGTGTGATAGCTTCAGTGAACTTAGTAATATTGTATATAAAACACAGAGAGAGGAAATAAATGGTATCTGCGGTTATGTTCTCCCAGAGGATAATAACCGTGTATGTGGTGAGGTTTCTGCGGTTGAGTCTCTACAGCAGACATAAGCTGAGCAGCATACATCTTTTATCAGCTCAGCAAGCTGACTTTCTGTTTATCTGTCTAGTCAGTTTAAAGGAATAGTTCACCAACATACGAGACTCTCAGAAAGCAGTCCATTCGACTCAATATTACATAACATGCACTATATATGCACGTTAGTCTTCTCAAGCCATAAAACAGATCTGTGTGACAAACAGACAGAAATGAAGCCATTGTTCACTAATAATTCCCTTAATTACAAATGTGCTACCAAAGGTGAAAAATAAATGTCAGTGACTAACAAACATCAGGTTGGAATATATATGGCAATACAACTACTTTATAATGTTTTGTTGTCCTTTTTTTAGCTTTACAGGCCAAAAACGGTCACTATATGGAAAATAGGGCTTTATTTTTTTGTTCAGACTTCTTTATGATTGTGTTCTAATCACATAAACCCTTATGTCACAAGGAACGACGTCACTTGACAGGACACATTATGGACAAATCGTCCTATAAATCATTAACTCTAGACAATCCATGTTAAGCTGCTGAGAAAATGGTTTATGGCAAGTCAATGATAATAGTCATTTTAAATGAGCAACTTTCCCCTATTTGAATATAAAGAAAAAAATGAGAGAAGAAATAGGCACACGTGATCTTTCCAGTACTCACAGGGAGATGATTCCTGGCGGGAAACTCTTGGGAATGGCTTTGGTGTCCACGCAGAAGGCACTGTCTTTAGTACAGGAGCAGGTGGCTGGACATCGAGGGGTTTTGGGAGCCCTGCGGCCCACCACCGTCCCAAACATACAGAAAAGCAGCACGCAAACAGACAGCCGCCAATCCGGCCATCGAGGGGTCCATCTGGGCCTTGCTTCCACCATCTTCCACCTTCTCTTCTCCAGCTTGAGTTGTCTCAGTCAAGAAACACAGACGGCTGGATGATCCTGGTTTCTATCCGTCCCTATCAAGAAAACTGCAAGAGAAGAAGATCCAGGGAGTGAATTGGGCTCAGAAGAGACGGACACAGAGAGAGTGGGCAATAATAGTAACTTTATATGAGCAACTTTCCCCTATTTGAATATAAAGAAAAAAATGAGAGAAGAAATAGGAACACGTGATCTTTCCAGTACTCACAGGGAGATGATTCCTGGCGGGAAACTCTTGGGAATGGCTTTGGTGTCCACGCAGAAGGCACTGTCTTTAGTACAGGAGCAGGTGGCTGGACATCGAGGGGTTTTGGGAGCCCTGCGGCCCACCACCGTCCCAAACATACAGAAAAGCAGCACGCAAACAGACAGCCGCCAATCCGGCCATCGAGGGGTCCATCTGGGCCTTGCTTCCACCATCTTCCACCTTCTCTTCTCCAGCTTGAGTTGTCTCAGTCAAGAAACACAGACGGCTGGATGATCCTGGTTTCTATCCGTCCCTATCAAGAAAACTGCAAGAGAAGAAGATCCAGGGAGTGAATTGGGCTCAGAAGAGACGGACACAGAGAGAGTGGGCAGTGGGTGCGTGTATGAGGGTGTATTTGATTTTCACAGTGTTCTCTGCAGTCGTATCTCTCTCTCTCTCTGTGCACAGACTGCAGGAGCGTATCAGCCAGCGCTGCTCTGCACACGCTCAGCCTCAGACCAGACAGAGTGCAGCAACGCTGACACTGAATTATTAACAATTGCATGGACTAACACTTAAACTGCAGCAGGGAACACAGCAGAGAAAGTAGTTGGATGGGGAGGTTGAAATAAGATGAAGAGGCAGGGGTGATGGACCGGTCAGTGGAGGTTATACTAAATAATGTACTACAAAACTCTTGTTTATGCTCAAGCATCACATCTTATAGAAGTCAGTGCACAAGCTTGAAAAAGCACCTTTTAGAACAGTATTCCGGTTCATGAAGGAACTACAATTCATTTTATATCCATTGTAAAGCAAAAATAAATAAATGAGACGACATGGTAATCGTGAATAGCATAGTGCGATTATCAAATTGAAGGCTGCGACTGAATTCAATAACTGTATAGTCTGATGTGCTGCATGTTTCAAAGTGAAGCGCGGCACTGTGTTCACGTGAACAGCTCAAATACAGTAAATGAAGCAAACTTCAATTCTGCATGTCTTCCAAGTTTAACGTCCATTTGGGAAGGCAGTGTGCATTAGGTTTATGCTATTGACACATTCAGATAATTTACAAACTTTTTGTGGGCAGAAGTTTGCAGCATTTCACCATCTGCCAAAATAAAAGCTTGAGGATTTAAAATGGTTAAAGGTTTAAATGTTTGAAAGTGAAGACACAAAAATTAGTATTGTAGTGTGAAATAAAATAAAAAATTAAAATAATAACAATAATAATAATTATTATTATTAATTATTTGTCAGCTAATACAGTTGTAAATTACAATAATGTTAATCAAAAAACTGATGATGATGATAATAATAATAATAATAGTAATAATAATAATAATAGTAATAACAACAACAATAACAACAACAATAATAATAATAATAATAATACGTATTATTATTATTGAGTTCCTAAAACATCAGTATTAATGTAATGTGAACTGAGAAACTATCACAACTAAAAAAAGTTTGTTTCCACTTTCATGTCCAGCTACAAAGTAACATTAAAACACTTACAAAAAATAAAAAAATAAATAAAACATAAAAAAACATAAATATTTTATCTATTTACTTGCATTTCATGTAATTATTAACCAACATCAGAGAAATGTGAACATGCAAATGTGTCAATACGTTTTTGAAATATACCTGTAAACCTAAAAGGATGGGTAAATATTTTGCATATAAGGGGTACAGCTGACAAAAAAGTTCTGGGCCCACCAACAATAGGCTACACATTTTGGATTTTCCCCTTATTTAGGCCACTTTTATCAGGCCTTGGACTCAACTACTGAGCTTATGGTTTGAATCAGGTGTG